AGAAGGGGCAGGGCTTGTCAGTCCAACCCCTGCACAGTCTCATCAGGGCTGGCCTTAAGGCAATTGGAGCAATTTGACCAAATTGGGCCCTGCAGGCCACTCCTAAGAGGGCCCCCGCACCAGGGCAATCTAGATGGATTTTATTTATATCTCTAAGATTCTGCAGACTTTGGCTGTGAACTGGGGCCCCACAAAATTTTTTCCAGTTGGGCCCCAGAGTTTCAAATTGGGCCCCACTGGCTGGCCCTGAATCTCATAGTTGCTGGGCCCGAGTTGCCCTGCCCTCGCATGAAGTCTTGGGCTTGCAATTTTGGGAGAGGGGAGACTGCCTGCGGGGGGGGGGGGCAGGGCTGTGGAGGCCTCCTAGATTTAAAGGCCCTAGGCTTCAGCCTACTTAGCCTATACATAAATCCAGCACTGGGTAGGTGGGATGTAGAATAACCAGTAAGTAAAGGGAATGGCCAGCCAAGTTTTTTAGGGGAATAAAGTGTTTCTTGGAGATGCTTTAAAGAATGAGAAATTACAGAGGTAAACAGTTGCCAGTAAGCCAAACGCAAACCATGCACTGATATGCCAGTGCACTAAAACGTTTGTGCCGAGTGCTCCTACTTCTTACATCCATTGTATTGGGCAGCTGTTACTTTCGGTTTGCTCTTTGATCTGGTTATTGAATATTTTAGACTTCCTCCTCCCCCTTTCCTGTGTAACATCTATAAGAACTGTGCCATTATCTTTGTTCATTTGGAAGAAAACTTTAAAATATAGTTCAGGAGTTAGAACTTTTGACAATTTGTACCTACCTAAAGGATTGTAATAATTATTGTAAGAGTTCAGTGATGCTTGCCAAATGTCCGTTTCAGGGAAAACAATTACGTTTGCTAGAATGGTGGACATCCCCCGGGCAATATACAACTTCCGGTTTTTTTCATCTTCCATTCTTCACCAGACATCAGAGAGTACACAGATGGACCATATGGATTGTATGCATTATACTGTGAGAACACCAGTGGGAATTGGTAAGGTCTTTCCAGATAACTGAAGTTACTTTTTTATGGGACAGAATATCTGCTATGGAAGATACCTTGTTTAGATATAGTGAAGTTTTCTTTTTATTGCTATTGAATTGAATTTCAGTTTAGGATTGTTAACCACTCCAACATATCTATCGGGCAAATGGCACAAGGGGAAGAGCTTGCTCCTCCCCACACTCTGACAAATACATTGCTCTCCCACATATCATTTGCAACTGTGACCTTCAGGCTATCAGCAGGGAAGTTAGGACTTTCATAGGTTTTTTAAAAAATATTCTGTTTCAGTTTTATTCAGAAAAATATAATGTACATGATTCAGTTCATGTTTATATTTCTAATACTGCAAATATTGCAAGCAATATTCAGGTTTTGACATGTTTTTACTAATGCACTAGCTGAAATCTATCCAGAATATACCCTCCAACACTAGTTCCAAAACTAGATTAAAACTTTACAAGCAAAAATCAGCAATAAGCCCCTTGAAGTGCAGTCCTCCCACATTCCCAGCAGAGAGGACCCAAAGAATCTGTAAACAAACTTTAAATCTATCACTGTTGTCTGCATTGTTAACAAAATGAATAGGGTTGCCGGGTCTTACCTCCTCACTGGTGGGGGGTGGGAGGGAACTTTCCGGAAGTGGGGGGCGGCAATGTTGCCGAACTTGATGTCCCCAATGTGTTGACGTCATGTTGAAGTGATGTCATCACACTGGGGACATTGTGTGGTGACACTCTGGTACTTTGGGCAGAACTCCATGATAACCATAAGAATTTTGTCCAAAATACCACAGTGTCGCTGCACAATGTCCCTGGCATGATAATGTCACTTCTGCATGACATCATCACGTTGGAGACATCATGCTGGGTTGTGGCTGTTGGGGGTGGGGAGGAGCCCGCAAAATCAGGGGATCCCCTGCTCCCACTGGGGGCTGGCAACCCTAAAATGAATGGGTGGGGGAGAGAAGTGGAGTAGAGGAATGCCATATTTCTGGACAGCCCAGACTAGTCCAATCTCGTCAGAAGCTAAGCAGGGTCAGCCCTGCCTAGTATTTTGGTTGGGAGACCTCCAAGGAATACTAGGGTCATGATATGGAGGCAGGCAATGGCAAGCCACCTATGACTGTCTCTTGCCTTAAAAGCCTTATCTGGTTGCTGTATATCAGCTGAGACCTTATGGCAAAAAAAGGCAGTGATAGTGAGCTCTGTTGGTTAAAGTGCTGGGCTTGGAATTGTGTTCAGATCCCCCAGTTAGGGTCAAAACTCACGTGACAAGACATTTATGTGTTTATTTTGCTTCCCTTTTAAAAACTAGAGGCACAGGTGGCTTCAATTTTGGTTAGAACAGAATATTGGGGAGTGCGTGTGTATTTAATTCTCCACTCAAGCTATTTCTCTGATCTAAGTCGCAGCCCTCCAGAGAGAGAATCCCTTCCTCCTTTGATATGAGTGTGATTTTTCCACGTAAAATATCTTAATGCTAATAATAATAAACCATGCTGTAAGCGATTAAGGAAATAAATTATGCCTATTTCACGAAAATATATATGCATGGGAAGTCCATATAAATAAATATTTCCTAGGTAGGGTAGCAGTTTAGTATGGTTCCTTGTTTGTAGCTATCATTGGGGTACAGAGTAAAGGAAAAACAGCTGAACTGCTTCTTCCAGAGGGTGCGACAACACCCTTTTGGCTGGATGTCAGGGGAATCTGAGCTTTGCGCTAAGTGCCAAGACTTCTTGTCTGAACAAACTTGCTGAACCTTTTGGGCCTGCTTCATTTCCTTCCTTCTTCAGCTGGCTTAATTAGCCCTTGGAATTTGCCACTTTACTTGCTGACTTGGAAAATTGCCCCAGCTGTCATGTGTGGAAACACTGTCATTGCCAAGCCCAGTGAAATGACGTCAGTCACTGCTTGGATGATGTGCAAGCTTCTAGACAAAGCAGGTAACCCTGAAATGAAAAGACGGACAAATCCTTCTATGGGGGTGTTGTATACTACAATGCAAAGCAATTTGTTAAAATGCAACAATGGAACAGTGTTTATACTACTGGCACATCTATTTCCTAAGGCCTCGGATAACATGACCATTTTTATGGTAGTCATGTGTCCCCAATAGGTATTAATTAATTAATTAATTAGACTTTTACCCCACCCTTCCGCCGAGGCAGCTCAGGGTGGCTTACAGTAGTTTAAAAACCAGTATAACAATTAATACAATATCACATCTAAAACAGTACAGTCAATAAAATAACCAGATATAGCTTATTAAGATTAAAATTACAGAAACAATAAATGATTATGTGGAAAGTATAAGGTAGGGGAAATAGTATCATACAAGTGAGGACCTGCAATACTTGCGGGGGGGGGGATCCTACTCCCTGTCTTAATAACCTCCCTCTCACCACTGCATCCTCAGGGCCATTGTGGCTCCCCCTAGGTCAGCAACAACTCCAGCACGCCCAGCCCAGCTCCCGGCTTCAGCCTGCTGCGGCTTCTCCCCCATGTTGCCACTGCTGATGCTGGGGGCTCCCTTCCCACCCATTACCACGACCCTCTCTGGGCCCTGAGCACCACCACTAATGGGCTCACTGTCATCTCCAGGACCACCAAGGCACCCCACCATTGCCAACAACTCCAGTGGCCCCAGTACAGCTCCCGGCTTTTCCCCACCACAGCTTGTTTCCCCCATCACATATTTTAGGGTCTGCTGCTGGGCCACCTTCCCCCCCAATCACTGCAGCTGCTGCGGGCCTGCTGTGGCTTCCCTCCCCATTGGTGCCGCTGCTCTTGCCTATGGGCCTGGCTTCCTCCCCCTCCCCCATCAGAGCCACTGCTGTCAGATGTGATCACAGTCAGGAGAAGGGGATCCTTGACACCACTTACCTTTATTCCCCCCATTACTGCTTCTGAGCCCAGCTTTCCCCCCATCAATAACCATGCTGGAGAGTGTTGTGCAGCTTCCAGCTGCGAGGCCCTCCAAGGCTCCCTCCCCCTTCAAGGGTGGCAAGCCCTCCATGGCTACGGGCCACCGAGACCACTAAGGCTCCCCTTGATCAATGGCAGCAAGCCCTGTGTGGCTTCTGTCTGCTGAGCTCACCAAGGCTTCTCCTCCCTGCTGTCAATGGTGGTGGTGAGCCCTATGTGATTCCCAGCCACTAGGTTCACCAAAGTTTCTACACCACCCCGTCAGCGTCTCGGTTATGCACAGAAGATATTGGGTTGTTGGAAGCCTCCGGGTTGCCTGATAGTTGTAACGACGGTCACAGGGCTGCCTCAGACTCGTGAACTTCCAAGTTACTTCACTTAGTATGCCCCGGCTTGCAACCATTCCTCCCCGGCTCCACCTGTGTTCCCTCTTTATTACAGCTGCTCAGCTTCCCCGGGCTTCCCACCTCTCACATCTTAAAGGAACCTAGCCAGGACATTAGACTTGATGACAGGTTCTTTACACTGGTCATCTCGCCAACCGTCTCATGCCCTGTCTGCACCTTGCCTAAATGCCCAGCCAGTTAGTCGTCCTTTTCCTCCCCCTTTTCTGGCTGGTCCCCCTCTGCATGGGAGTTGATCCAAGACCCCCGGACCTCCAGGAAAGCGCCGGACTCTCTGCTCCTGTCTAGTACTGGTAGGCTGTTCCCCGGCATAGGAAGGAGGGGCGCTCCCTCGCCCTCTTGACACCCCCCCAATAATGATGCTGGCAAGCTCCTCGTAGCTCCTGGCTCCTGAAGGGTTCCCTCCCATTAGCAACAACAGTGGCAACATTTCTTCCCCTGTCACTGATGACAATGCAGCCAACAGAGGAAGTAAGTGTGTTGTCTGCACAGAAGTTACAGCTTGGCCACAACAGTGGCAACATTTCTTCCCCTGTCACTGATGACAATGCAGCCAACAGAGGAAGTAAGTGTGTTGTCTGCACATGTGCAGACAATGCTAGTTTACTTTTCAGGAGATTTAAACCCACCATGTTTTTTTTAAAAATTTTCAGACTTTTCTGCAAGCCTAGGGAGTCCTTTGAGTTTGTCTCCACGTGTTTAACCTCCACGTGACCCCAATCCACTTATTTTGCTATCCACAGATGGGGGCCACAGGTGCTGATAGTATATAGATGCAACCAGTATTCATTAGTTAGTTGAGCTTTGGTATTAATTACTTTATGGGAAGATGTTGCCTTATTTAGAGACTGCAGAAGGTACCTTAAGAGTGCTTACAATGTTTCCATCTATCGATTTAAAAGTGATCTGTATCCCACCTTTCCACAAATCTAAAGAAACAATGCAACAGATTTGTGATTAAGAAATCCCTGCTTATCTCATCCTTGGTCAGTCGCCAACATGATTGCCCCATTGGCCTCATCACTCCATGGCAGTCATGGGATAAATCTCTCCCACCCCAGATCTATGCCACTGAATTGAACACTCAACAACGGGATGGAGTCAGTTTCTGAGGAGAGTGGGCCTTCTTCCTTTGTGTTGCTCTCACTCTGCCATGGAATCAAACTGCTCCCTCTTTCCTAGGACCAGATGCTGTTTCCTTAACATTTCGTATATTTGTGATTATAAGGATTCCCCCCAGGTGTCGTGAACATCATATTTGGGCATGGCTCCAAAGCTGGGGATGCTCTAGTCTCCCATCCAAAGGTACCACTGATTTCCTTCACTGGAAGCACACTTACTGGTCAGCGCATCATTGAAAGGAGTGCTCCATTTTGCAAGAAGCTCTCATTGGAGCTTGGAGGCAAGAATCCGGCCATCATCTTTGAGGATGCCATTTTGGATAAATGCATCCCTGCCACTGTAAGATCCAGCTTTGCTAATCAGGTATGTTGCAATGGTCAACTCCCAGTTTAGGGCTTTGCTTGTGAAGCTGAAGTGTGTGAAAGGTACTTTTATAAGGCAGGGATTGGCTTAAAGTCCATCCAACATGGTGTCAACTCAGAGTGGATACTGTTCATGAATTTTTAGTAAGTGATTTGCTGTTTGGTTCTTTCTGAGATTTCTCAGTGTTCAGAGAATTCTCCTCAGTCCCTAATGTATGTGTATTGACCGCCTCTCCCATATATGTGTCAATATTGCCTTATGCATGATTATACTACATCTTCTACATTGTGGTCAGTCGCTATACTAGCACTGTGCATCTGAGGTACAGTGTCCTCTTGAGTCCTCTAGAAAGTTTTATGAGGCACTATGAGGCCGTTTTATTTGCCAGAGCTTTTAATGTAGTACAGACCACAGGTATATTTTGTGGGGAGGAGAGTTTTATTTTATTCTGCGTATTTTAAGTCATGTTTTGTAAGCTGCCGTGAGGAATGGTGAGACAGAAATATTTTAATTTTTTAAAAAGCCCTTCCCCATATATTGTCTCCTATCTCTGGTATTTAAAGGTTTACTGTCTCTAAATGTAGAGATTCCCTTTAGACAGCTTGGCCATGCTCCATGAATTCACCTAATACCCCTTTCAAGCCAGTCTATGCTAGCGGCCATCACTACATCCAATGATACTGAATTTCACAACTTAATTACTCCTTGAGTGAAGAAGTACTGTGAACTGCAAATGAAACAGGGCCTTGGATCCTGAACTTTGTTTCTGTCTGTGCTCCTCTTTATCCCGAGTGGAGGCAGTCCTCCACTTTGGAGCACCTTTCCTCCAGCGCTAGGCATTTTGCCGCTCCTTGAAAGACATTGGTCAGGCATAAGTAGAAGTGCATGCCACCAGCGGGAAGCACTTTGTCAGCTGAGGATTGCCTCTGTAACGTATGAAGAAGAACACAAGTGAAAATAAAGCTTAGGATCCAAATAGTTACAAGCTTTAAAATCTTCATGGTTGAAGAACTGCTTGCTTTATTTCAGTTGCATGAGCAAGCTTTTTGTAAATTGTTTGAAAGCTGCAGACATGCAATTTTTGGATCAGGGAATGTCACCGTGGTATTCCGTAAATTGCCTTGTGATGTCACACAGCTCATGTGAGTTTTATGAAACCTTCAACAAGAGTAAATACTCCTTCCGTACATGTGCCTAGCAGCTCACTGTAGCCACCTGGCCTCCTGAGTATAGGCCCTGAACATGCAGAAGTTAGTCATTCTGAGTCTTTAGAGAATGGTAGTAATGTCACTCATTCATTCACTGGCCAAATATTATGAGCTGGTTCCAAACTGACTAATGGTAGCATTGCTCTTCAGTTGGTTAAGCAGCAAATGCACTTCACGAGAGCAATCGGGTGACAAACAGGTGTGGGTGATCATACCCAATTTCTGAAGAAGAACAGTTGTCACAACTCTTCAACACTCAGTCATTGTTTTGGGAGCTCCAACACTACAACCTTCAATCTGTCAGTCTCCAAGATATTGTCCCTTCCCTTCACTGTAGGGTTACACCTTTTCCAATAGTCTGTCGTCGGCTGTGTTTCAAACATGCACTGCATCACTTCATACACCATCACTCAATGACTTCCCATTCATTGCCATGCAAGCAACTGCCCCAGCTGCTCCTCTTGAAAATGTTGTGTTTGTGGTGATGGGATGTTCAGTCTGTGGTACCTGATTCATGTGAGGTGGCAGTCATTGCATGATGAACTTCCTTGTGTGAAGCAGGGGGTAGGGGCTGAAGAAGAAGCTTGGTGAGAGAAATTAGGAGACTAAGGCACAAACTAAGATCCTATGAGGAAATCATTGGGTTTTCTCCAGGCCATGTGCCTATTGTAATGCTACTGTGGGTGCTGGAGAGGTATTTACAGTGGAGAATCAGTAGACTCAGGAGAGGTGAAATGCTACTCCTTCCTTACCCTTCTCCTCCTCATAAATGCCTCCTCAGATTTCCCATTCCTTTAGCAAACAAGGAATTGAGAATTCACATTTATTTGAATTGTTTTCAATGGCCCTGATCACACGGAAGGTTTTGGGCCGGGAGAGGGACGGATCGGGGGCGCAGCAAACGGGCGCGATCTCACCGCGACATCTGGGAAGCGGCGCGCACCCGTCCCCGATCTGGCCCTTCAAGCCGAAAATCCACTGTTAAAATAAACCACCTACAGAGGTGGACTTACCAGAAAGGCCGCGGCAAGCACGGCCGTGGGATCACCGGCACGTCCTTCTGCTGGCGCATCTGAGGCTCCTAGCCGAACTGCGCATGCGCACACATGCACAGCCGGCTGCCTCGGTCTCCTGTCGGTGGCTTCCTCCCCGGCATCTGATCGTGCCGGGTAGCAACGGCGCGGCGGCTCAGGGGATCTGTGTGATCCCACCACGTGTCTTTTTTGGTGCGGCTCTGAATAGCCGCACTTTGGCTGTGTTTTTTTCTGCCGTGTGGCAGGGGCCTATGTATTGCAATGTGCCTTGAGTCAGTGACAAAGGTAGGTTATATGTAACTTAAAATATATAAAGAAAAGTAGAGCCTTGTTTGGCACCAAACAGTAACGCATTTGAAATATGAATTTGATGGAGCAATTTTATATCTTACCTTATCCTAACTCTATTTATTACTTACTTACTTCCCCCCCCCTCAGTTCTTGCCTGTGCATTCTTTCTGCTCATGAGGTCTGAGAGAAATTCTTCTCTCTGTGAAATAATCAATAAAGCTTTCGATCAAGTTATGCTTTCACACTACTGTGTTTCATGAGTTGGAAGGAATAGTTTTGGCAATTTTCAGTAATAATTGTCCATGACAGAGTTATCTCTGTTTTTTTCTCCCTCTCTCAGGGTGAAATATGTCTGTGCACAAGCAGAATCTTTGTTCAGCGGACCATTTACTCAGAGTTTTTGAAAAGGTTTGTGGAGGCTGTCAAAAAATGGAAGGTTGGAAGCCCTTCAGATCCCACAACTGATGTGGGAGCACTGATAAGTAAAGAACATTTAGCAAAGGTAAAAACAAACCACTTGTGCTCAAATACCATTGCATGGGACACTAATTCCAGAGTGGTGGCTTTTTAGCCTGTCACAGCTGAAACTTAACAAAAAGGGTATTTTGACTGCTTAAAGACTAGTGGATTTATTATGGTGTACACTTATATGCCTTAGAGAACCCATTTTATCAGGTACCTGCAATGTGTCCTCAGTTCATGCAAATATATACATGGGAGCAACAAAATAAAAATAGGGTCCATACAGCAGTGTGCTGAAGTTGGCCATGCCATAATAAATGATTCGCCATAATAATTCCTTGAAAGCTAATGCCATAATAGATCTATTAATAATTATGCTGCCACAAGACTCTTTTTTTTAATCAGGTAGGATTGTTAATAATTGGGCCTCTTTGCCAGCAGGTAAAAAAAAGACTTTAGAACACAGGCAGAATGCTTTTTTACATCACCATATAACCATAGTTAGCCTGGTATAAGGGACTGGTAGGACTTCATAAGTCAGAGCAGAAATATTATAACATAAGTAGAGCCTGCTGGATTATACCAGTGGTTCATCTAGTCCAGCATCTTGTCTCACACAGCAGCCAAGCAGTTTTCCAAACAAACAGGGCATAGGAGCCAAAGCATTTTCCTCACATTGCCTCCTACACTAGTATGCTTTAACAGATTTGAACCTGGGGTATCTATTAAAACGGGGCACTGAGGCCATGTAAATTCACCACAAGTGACAAGAAACTTGAGTAAGAAATGCCTTTTTTTCTTGCCGTTCAAATATATTGTCAGTTGGGTAGAAAATAGATTTCAAATTTTCAAGTACTAGCATTGTATTTTTAGGTGCCTAAGATTTTTCCTGCAATGATTAATATTCAGTGTCAAGATTTATTAAGTATCTGTAATCTCTAGAACTACTATTACTAGATAATAGTCCCATATTTGTCTATATATCTGGTATGACAATCAGAAATTATGGGCCTTTCTAAAAACACATTTTTGTTCCCTTTAGGTAAAGAATTCTATCAAAAAAGCTCAGGAAGAAGGAGTTAGGATCCTGTGTGGTGAGGGAAAGGACCTCTTGTTTCTTCATCCTAGAAACCAGAATGGCTACTTCCTGCTTCCAACAGTCATTGCTGATATTGAAGATAACTCATGTTGCATGCAAGATGAGATCTTTGGTCCTGTGACCTGCATCACAGTGTTTGATACCGAAGAGGAAGTAATTACAAGAGCAAATGGGGTCAAATATGGCCTGGCAGCCACTGTCTGGTCAAGAAACGTGGGACAGGTTCATCGTGTTGCTAAGAGACTCCAGTGTGGATTGGTGTGGACCAACTGTTGGCTCATCAGGGATTTAAATTTGCCCTTTGGTGGCATAAAAGCCTCAGGTATAGGCAGAGAGGGGGCAAAGGACTCCTACGAATTTTTCACAGAATCAAAAACAATTACTATAAAACACTGAAAGGTACCAATGGAAGCTCTTCATGTCATAATAAATAGGCATTTAGGTGTGCTGCTAGGTATCTGTGGATATGACATAACTCTATTAAATGTTTTCTGAAATACATTATTTGTTTGTTTGGAGAATTTATACACCACTTTTCATGGTCAAAGCCCTTCTCAGTGTGGCTAAGAAAATTGGAAAGTGTTAAATACTGGGTTCAAGACGCATTACAGTGAACAACTCTACTTTATTTAGTGCTTTCAGGAACAATTCTTAAGACTGCAGGGCAACAGCCCTGTTTAAGTAGCATGCAAAAACCACACCCAAGCACACCCCACTCCCAACAATAGGCTATTTACATAACATTGCCTCCTCATTGGTTACCTCTATTTGCATAACATTGACTCCTCATTGGTTACTTCTAGAATCCTGGTGGTCTATTGTTCCAGAGCTCCAAGCTCAGCCCATCTCTTATGGACAGACCTGGGATCTTCCAGCCCAATACGTAACAGAAAGTAAGCAGATAGTTTAGTGGCACACACAGGAGAGATGGGTGTTGGGAAGGGAGAGAGGCTGAGGAGCTGGATCTTGCTCAGCTCTTGATGGCGGTGTTCCCTTGGCTGCATCTTGGCCAGTTGGTTGCCTGTCTTCCTTCCTGTGAAAAAGAGAAACTTGCATGACAACAGCAGTGCTTTCAAACAGTGGATCCTATGACTAATGCTCAGGGATGTGAATTACAATTTCAATTGCTTCCCCACTCCCAGGGGTCATTTCGTAGACATTGTGCTCCCCCACTCAGCTTCTACTCCCATAAATTATACATATAGCTGGTCTGCTCCCTGAAATGTGTTTGAAAGTTAAGAGCATGAGAAACACAACAGAAAAGAAAGGGGTGTCCAGCTGTACTTGTTCTGCATACTAGGAATGATGAAAGCATCTCACTCTAGAGCTTTTCCTCATGGCTTTTTTTTTTTTTGGTCGGTTCTTGGCCCCATACTGCTTCAATTTATCCCCTGATTTCTGCACACATTTTTGTGCCTTTAGCTTTCACTTCAGTCCCCCCCCTTCTTTTGAGACCACTTTTACCCTGACCTTTTCTTTCTGAAAGCCAATTTTGATTTGCCTTTTTCTTTGTGTGTAATTTTTCAGTCAGTTTTCTTTGTCCCACACACTCCCATGTACCTCCAGCCCACTTTTTGCTGATTGGACTGTCATCATCTTCAAATCACTCCCTTTCCTCACCACTGAAGAGAAATGGTTTCTTAATTTTTTTTAAACAGCACTAAAATATCAATATATCGGTATACTGCTGTAATTATATGTCAAACAGGTTCTGTGAATTCCCAGCTTTCCTTAAAACAACCAAGTCTCTAGTCCTTTCCCTCACAGAGATTTAAGGAAAAAGTCTTATCTCCACAAGGGAGAATGATAGAGAGACTTACCTAAAAAAAAGAGAGAGCAAAAGCTGGGAATTCAGAGAACCTGCTTGACCTATTATTTACAGCAGTATACCAATATATGGATATAAGCATGCACACAAAATAAAAAGGTTGGATGCTGTGATGCCACTGCTACCATCAATGATGACAGCACCCTCCCCTGAAAATCTTCATTATTTAAGGCACATGCGGAAGAAAATAAACTGACTTCACAACTGTGAAAATGCAAAGTATTATGTATTGAGCTTGCTTCTCTAAGACAATAGCTTGCCTAGATCCAGAAACTAACCTATAGATAAGCAGTGTAATGTAAATAGCCTATCACTGGGAGTGAGTTTGTGTTGGGTGTGGTGTAAACTGGCTGAGCTTGTTCCACCAGACTATAGCTGGCCAGGATCCTGGAATGGACCTATAGTGTAGTAGTTGTAATATAAATAGCCAATTGTTGGTGGTGGGCTCTTTTTGTAGCAGGAACTCCTTTGCATATTAGGCCACACCCCCTAATGTAGCCAATCCTCCAAGAGCTTACAGAGCTCTTCTTACAGGGGCTACTGCAAGCTCTTGGAGGATTGGCTACATTAGGGGTGTGTCGCCTAATATGCAAGACATTTGGCCTTGGAAAACAAAATGAAGCAGGGCAAAGGCGAACAAAGTTTTGTTAAGAGAACACGCTGGTCATAGCGAACACCCTTGTCCAACAACCTAAGAGGCGACTCTACACATGGACATCGAGACATCACCAGATGGGCAACACCGAAATCAGATTGATTATATAATTTGCAGTTAAAGATGGAGAAGCTCTATCCAGTCAGTAAAAACAAGACCTGGAGCTGACTGTAGCTCAGATCATGAGCTACTCATTGCAAAATTCAGACTTAAACTGAAGATAGTTGGGAAAACCACTAGGCTATTCAGGTTTGACCTAGATCACATCCCTGATGAGATCTAGGTCAAACTAGATTTGATAGAGTGCCTGAAGAATTATGGACGGAGGTTCGTGACATTGTACAGGAGGCAGCAATCATCACCAACCCAAATAAAAAGAAATGCAAGAAACTAAAGTGGCTGTCTGAGGCTTTACAAATAGCAGAGGAAAGAAGGAAAGTGAAAGGCAAAGGTGAAAAGGAAAAAGTTACCCAACTGAATGCAGATTTCCAGAGAACAGCAAGGAGAGATAAGGAGGCTTTCCTGAATGAACAGTGCAAAGTAATAGAGGAAAACAATAGAATGGGAAGGACTAGAGATCTCTTCAAGAAAATTGGAGAAATCAAGGGAATGTTCCATGCAAAGCTGGCCATGATAAAGGACAAAAATAGTAGGGAAATAACAGAAGCAGAAGAGATTAGGAAAAGATGGCAAGAATACACAGAAGAACTATACAAGAAGGACCTCAATGTCCTTGACAACCATGATGGTGTAATCACTGACCTTAAGCCAGACATCCTGAAATGTGAACCCAAATGGGCCTTAGAAAGCATTACTAACAACATAGCTAGTGGAGGTGATGGTATCCCAGCTGAGCTATTCAAAGTCTTAAAAGATGATGCTTTTAAAGTGCTGCACTCAATTTGCCAGCAAATTTGGAAAACGCAACACTGGCCACAGGATTGGAAAAGGTCAGTTTACATTCCAATCCCAAAGAAGGGCAATGCCAAGGAATGTTCAAACTTTCACACAATTGCACTCATTTCACAAGCTAGCAAGGTCATGCTCAAGATCCTACAAGCTAGGCTTCAACAGTACGTGGATAGAGAACTGCCAGAAGTACAACCTGGGTTTCAAAGAGGTAGAGATCAAATTGCCAACATTTACTGGATTATGGAGAAAGAAGAGAATACCAGAAAAACATCTCCTTCTGCTTCATTGACTATGCTAAAGCCTTTGATTGTGTGGATCACAACAAATTGTGGCAAGTCCTTAAAGAGATGGGAGTACCAGACCACCTCCCATGTCTCCTGAGAAACCTGTATAAAGGTCAAGAAATGACAGTTAGAACCAGATGTGGAACAAATGATTGGTTTAGCATAGGAAAAGGAGTATGACAAGGATGTATATTGTCACCTTGCTAATTTAATTTATATGCAGAGTACATCATGCGAAATGCCGGCCTGGATGAATCACAAGCCAGAATTAAGATTGCTGGGAAAAAGATCAACAACCTCAGATATGCAGACAATACCACTCTAATGGCAGAAAGTGAAGAGGACCTACAGAGCCTTTTGCTCAGAGTGAAAGAGGAGAGCACAAAAGTGGGCTTGAAACTCAAAAAAACTAAGATCATGGCATCTGGCCACATCACCCCTTGGCAAATAGAAGGGGAAGCAGTGACAGACTTCACGTTCCTGGGATCCAAGATCACTGCAGATGGTGACTGCAGCCATGAAATTAAAAGATGCCTGCTCCTTGGGAGGAAAGCGATGGGAAACCTTGACAGCATAATAAAAAGTAGAGACATCACCCTTCCA